ATGATATTTATGTTCATGGTGATTTATATCCTACTCATGCTTGCACTCATTGTTGATTAATCTTAATGCATGTTCATGACTGTTGTTGCTCTCTAGTTGGTCGCTTCCCAGTCTCTTTCTAGCCTTCACTTGTACTAAGCGGGAATACTGCTTGTGCATCCACTTCCATAAACCCCAGAGTTATTCCATATGAGTCCAGCATACCTTCCTATATGTGATATCTACCTGCCGTTCCAAGTAAATTTGCATGTGCCAAACTCTAAACCTTCAAATGAAATTCTGTTTTGTATGCTCGAATAGCTCATGTATCAACTAGGGATGTCTACATCTTCCATGCTAGGTGGGTTATTCTCACGATGGGTGGACTCCGCTCATCATTCACAAGAAATGGCCGATAACCGGGATGCCTAGTCCCATGCTCAAATCAAATCAAAATAATCACAAACAAAACTCCCCCAGGATTGTTGTTAGTTGGATGGCACCCGTTGTTTCGGACAAGCCATGGATTGACGTTTGTTGGTGGTGGGGGAGTATACACTTTACCATTCTGTTTGGGAACCGCCTATAATGTGTGTAGCATGGAAGATATCGAGATCTATTGGTTGTTATGTTGACAATGAAAGTATACCACTCAAAATATTATTTATCTCTGTTTCAAAAACTCGAGCTCTGGCACCTCTGCAAATCCCAGCTTCCCTCTGCGAAGGGCCTATCTATTTACTCTTATGTTGAGTCATCATCCTCTTATTAAAAAGCACCGGTTGGAGAGCACCGTTGCCATTTGCATGCATTGCTATTAATTTACATTGAGTATGACTATGATCGGATCTCTTTTACCATGAATTACAATGTCTAGTCAGTCCTTGATCTTCAGGGGTGCTCTGCATTTATGTTTTGCGGTCTCAGAAAGGGTTAGGGAGATACCATCTTGTTACATCATATTATGATTTTTCGAGAAAGTGTTGTCATCTGAGATTTATTATTATTGCTCGCTAGTTGATTATGCCATTGATATGAGTAAACATGAGACGTGAATGTTATTGTGAATATGGTTAGTTCATAATCTTTGCTGAAAACTTGAATGTTGGCTTTACATATTTGCAACAACAAGATCAAACAGAGTTTGTAAAAGTTTTTTCTTTATCACTTTCAGTTTGTCAACTGAATTGCTTGAGGACAAACAAAGGTTTAAGCTTGGGGGAGTTGATATGTCTCCAACGTATCTACTTTTCCAAACACTCTTGCCCTTGTTTTGGACGCTAACTTGCATGATTTGAATGGAACTAACCCGGACTGACGTTGTTTTCAGCAGAACTGCCATGGTGTTATTTTTCTGCAGAAATAGAAGTTCTCGGAATGACCTGAAAATCCACGGAGACATGTTTTGGAATTAATAAAAGAGATATTAGCAAAAGAATCAGCATCAGGCGGCCCACACCCCTGTCCACAAGGGTGCAGGGCGCGCCCCCCTGCCTCGTGGCCCCCTGGGACTCCACCGACCTCAACCACAACTCCATATATTCACTTTCAGGGAGAAAAAACCCAAAGAGAATGATTCATCGCATTTTACGATACGGAGCCGCCGCCAAGCCCCAATCTTCATTGGGAGGGCTGATCTGGAGTCCATTCGGGGCTTCGGAGAGGGGAATCCGTCGCCATCGTCATCATCAACCATCCTCCATCACTAATTTCATGATGCTCGCCGCCGTGCGTGAGTAATCCCATCGTAGACTTGCTATACGGTGATGGGTTGGATGTGATTTACCATGTAATCGAGTTGGTTTTGTTGGGGTTTGATCCCTAGTATCCATTATGTTCTAAGATTGATGTTGTTATGACTTTGCCATGCTTAATGCTTGTCACTAGGGCCTGAGTGCCATGATTTCAGATCTGAACCTATTATGTTTTCATGAATATATGTGATTTCTTGATCCTATTCTGCAAGTCAATAGTCACCTACTATGTGTTATGATCGGGCAACCCCGAAGTGAAAATAATCGGACCACTCCCGGTGATGACCGTAGTTTGAGGAGTTCATGTATTTACTAAGTACTAATGCTTTGGTCCGGTACTCTATTAAAAGGAGGCCTTAATATCCCTTAGTTTCCAATGGGATCCCACTGCCACAGGAGGGTAGGACAAAAGATGTCATGCAAGTTCTTTTCCATAAGCACGTATGACTATATTCAGAATACATGCCTACATTACATTGATGAACTGGAGCTAGTTCTGTGTCACTCTATGTTAGAACTGTTGCATGAGGAATCGTATCCGACATAATTATCCATCACCGATCCATTGCCTACGAGCTTTTCACATATTGAACTTTGCTTAAGTTACTTCTCCGTTGCCACTGTTACGATTACTACAAAACTGATACTGTTACTTTTTCCACCGTTACCGTTACTTCCATACTACGTTACTACTAAATACTTTGCTGTAGATAAAAAGTCTTTCAGGTGTGGTTGAATTGACAACTCAACTGCTAATAATTGAGAATATTCTTTGGCTCCCATTGTGTCGAATTAATAAATTTGGGTTGAATACTCTACCCTCGAAAACGGTTGTGATCCCCTATACTTGTGGGTTATCAGGACCCCCTACCCCGAGGTCTACCGGTTTTGACACCGACACCATGCAGTTAAATGTGACGCAGATGTGGACAACCATATGTGTTGTGGGAGAGTATGCCACTATAAGGCGATAGCGCCTCATCTTCACTTGATGCGGTAAACATGAACAATGTTCATGATAACATTACTGAATACTTATTTGCCGCAAGAGGAGGGTAACTAACTTATGGGAGAGCAAGTGATGTCTTTCGGTATAGATGTGATTGACGATGCATGAACAAGCAATGCCTTTTGGCATAGATATGGGACATCAAGAGGTGTCTTTTGGTATAGATATGTGACTGGTGATGTATGCACAATTTAAGTCTGTTTGGTATATATGTGTGTTCAAGATGATGTATGAAGAACTACCATTATATTTGTACTTCCATTGGTCCACAATCATCACATTTTAATTACCTCCAACATACGCACAACAAATCAAAAATTAGCAAAACATGTCTAAAACAAATTATTACAATTACATTAGTACATAAACACATCTGAACATCCCACGGGTATCTCACACATTTTACTGGAAAGCCACGACTCATGCAGTTAGTTCACCAAACGATAGCACTGCTGACAACAACTTTCCCACAGCTCACATCCCACAACCCACAACAACTTTCCCACAACTCACAACCCAACCAAACTTACTAAGTATCAATTTTGTTAGTTGTACCCATTCACCCTCCTCTAGGTTAGACCGACTTCGGTACATGAGTGACAACAACCGGCCGTCGGCGGCGATAGTGGTCCATATATCTCAATGTAATTGTCTATGCTCTTCATACACCAGGCACACAAATGACATCACACTATACCGTTAACACAAAACAAAAAGAAAGAAAGACAGAAAGCACACTTACTTATTCGGGCTATCCAAACCGAAGTGGATACCTTGCTTCATGTTGATAAGTGTGACGCGGATGAGGACTATAGTCCACATGTGGTGCGACGGATTGTACCACTGCAAGGCTATAGGGCTTCATCTTCACTTGATGTTCGTGATAACATTGTTGACTATTGGTTTGCCGCGAGAGGAGGGGTAACTATCTTATGGGAGAGCAAGTGATGTCTTTTGGTATAGATATGACTGACGATGCATTAACAAGTAATGTCTTTTGGTATAGATATGATACATCAAGATACGTCTTTTGGTGTAGATGCATGGATGGTGATGTATGGACAATTTAAGTATTTTGACATATATATGTGCTTAGGATGATGTATGAATCAATGTTATATTTGTAGTTCTATTGGTTTACTATCCTCACACTTTAATTACCTGCAACATATGTACAATAGCTGAAAAAAATAGTGAAACATGTATAAAAACCGATTATCATCATTATATTAGTACATAAACACCGTCTCAACATCTCAAGGGTATTCCAGACATTTTACTCGAAAGCCACAGCTCAGACAACACTTTACTAAACGACAATACTGCCCACAACAGCTTTCTCACATCCCACATCAACTTTCCCACAGCTCGCCGCCGAACCAAACACCCTCTCAGCCTTGCATTCACTTTGATTACATAGACCCAACTGTCATTGACAAAGTTAGACCGGCTTCCGTGTAGGAGTGACAACAACAATGCGCCTCAAGCGTTAGTGGTCCAGAGACCTTGATGTAATTTTTATTATGTTTATGGTGCTATGTACTTTCGATGCACAATCGCAATGTCTTGATTTTTTTTGAATATTTTATTCTCTTCGTAGACAGATGACATCACACTATACCGTTAACACAAACCAGAAAGAAAGAAAGAAAGAAAAACACGCTCACGTGCACCATCATCATCCATCCATGTGTTCTAAAACCTTCCCAAATCCTCCTAGACGGCCGGCCGGCCGAAAAGCCCCAGCAGACCAACCGCTCGACAAAGCACGCCGGCGGCGTGGCGTGGCGCCGATACATATACGGCCACCCCCCGAATTCCACCCCCCATCTCCATTTCCCTCCACCCTTTTCCGTTTCCCTCCACGGCGCGCCCCTCTTCCCTCCCCATTTTCAGATCCAAAATCCAAATCTCCGCCCTTTATCTCTCCTCCCCCCTCCCTTCCCTCCGACCCACCACCACCTCATCCATTCCCCTCCTCCCTCCATCCCTCCCCCTTCCCGCCGCCGCCAACTCCTCCTCCAAACCCCTGCCGTTGGCCACCGATCGATCGAGCCAGTGCTCCGCTCTGCTCTGGTGGTTGGCAGTAGGATCCTCCCGGTAGCAGTGATCTGTGGCGGCGGAGCGGATCGGGCACCAAACCCCTAAACCCCCGATCCCCCGATCCGCGACGAGGAGCGGGTGGGGTGGCCGGAGCCGCGGATCGCCGGAGCTCGGAGGGGGTGCCTGTCGCAGATCTGCCGATCCTGGCGCCCGACATGAGCTCGTCGGTCGAGAAGGTGAGCTGATCCGATCCGGAGCGTGCTTTTGGCGCTCGATCTACCGCTCTAAAGTATGGATTTGGTGTTGATCTGACGTGTTTTGCCTCGATCTGTTCGCAGGGGAGCGGATCGCTGGATCCCGGCGAGCGCCCGGCCGCCGGCAGCCAGCCCAAGGCCTGCACCGCCTGCAACACCACCAAGACGCCGCTCTGGCGCGGCGGGCCCTCCGGACCCATGGTGAGTGCGGCAGATCCCTCCCGATCTGTTGTCTAACCCCTCTGTTCTTTCCCGATCTGTGATTCTTCGAGCTGATCTACGGCGGCTGATCTGTTTTTTCTCTCTTGCCTGGATCCAGTCGCTGTGCAACGCGTGCGGGATCCGGTACAGGAAGAAGCGGAGGGAGGCGATGGGCCTCGAGGACCCCCCCAAGAAGAGGCAGCCGGCGGCGGCCGCCGCGCCTGCGGCGGCGGCGGTGGCGTGCTCGGAGGCCGGCGGCGAGAGCGCGGATCCGGAGCAGCAGCAGCAGCCCAAGAAGAAGACGACGACGACCAAGAGGGGTCGCGAGGTGGAGCTCCGCGTGGTGGGGTTCGGCAAGGAGGTGGTGCTGAAGCAGCGGCGGCGGATGCGGCGCAGGCCGCGGCTGGGCGAGGAGGAGAAGGCGGCCATCCTCCTGATGGCCCTCTCCTCCGGCGTCATCTACGGCTGATCCAGGCCGACCCAGCCCTACCTAGCTAGCAGCAGCAAGCGGAGAGAAGAGAAGAGAGATGAGAGGAGATCCAGAGTGTGAGTGATTTGCTCGCTTGCTGCTGCTTGTCTAGCAAGCAAGCATGCATGCAGGCAGAGATGTCGAGGCGTCTCTGCCCCCCCTTGTTCTTTCCTGGTAGTTTTTCCGGCTGATTAGTTCTTCAATAATGAATGAATGAACGATGATGCAGCTGCAGCAGCTGCTGTTCTTCGCGCCAGCTTAGCCTTGTTCTTTCTTCTTGCCTAGTAGCAGCTGTGATGTTACCCAAGTAGTAGTAGCAGTATCCTAGTAGTAGTAGCAGCAGTAGTAGTGTGTAACATTGCAGTGTAAGAATTGAGAGAGCTTTATGAATGATGAACCATCTTTGTGGCTCCAGATCTGTGCAATCTTGTCCCCTTTTCAGCTGAAATCTATCCCAGCTGATCTGCCTTGTTGAGCTGATGTGATGAATCTGAATCTTTGTGGCTCCAGATCTGTGCAAGTACTCTCCTTTTCACCTGAAAGGGTGCTTCATACCAGCTCCAGATCTGTGCAAGCGCCCGCCTTTTCTCTTCCCCGTGGGAGGAATCCCAGCTGAAATTCATCCCAGGTGATCGCCTTTGATGGATGTTTGATCTGATGTGATGGTGCACGAGCGGTGTTTCTGCCCGGGATCTGTTGTCGGCGGCCGCCCCAGATGAGTAGCATTCCATTCCGTTCCGGTGATAGTATTTTCCGGGTGGAAAAGCAAGCAGTGAGGTCGCCGTCCATGGTGGTTTCTCGAAAGGGAAAAGTCAGCACCCGGTCCTCTTTCTACACCCTCTGCTGCTGCGCTCCACTGCACTGCTGATGCCTGTCACCAGCTAGCAGCTCGCTCGCTTGCTCACTCACTGACACTGGTAGGAGTGGGGTGGGGCGGAGGAATCCAACCCTATCTACTGGAGTAGTATCCCGATCTGTGACCTAGCGGGCCGCGGGGTGGGGGTGAAAGGCGGCATGGAATTTGCTTGTTCGGGATGGTGCAGAGCCCACGGGAATCCCGTGATGGCTCCCCTGCGTGCATCCCTCATCTTGCCCGCGCCGGAGCAGAAGTTGGTGCTACGATGGATCGTGGATGGATAATAATGTGACGGGCCTGGCTGCTGTGCTGTGGGCATCTTGTGATCCTGGCTGGTGGTTTGTTCCGTTTTGTTTGCGTCGTGCTCTCGTCCGGAAAAAGAAAATATCGTGGCTTTGCTTTGCTTGCTTGGATGGTGACAAGTCATTCGTTGGTTCCTTCGTGTGTTTTTGGGGGTGTATCATGTAGTGTACGGGTTTGTAATGGGTTGGACGGTCGCGTCGTACTTTGCGTATTACTAGTAGTGTCATGACTGCTACTAGTAGGAGTAGTAGTACCAGTTTTGGAATTGGGCCGGGAGCTGGGGAGTGGGGAACCGGGGATGGATGGATGGATGGATGCTCTGCGCTGTTGTGTCTGGGTTTTTTCTCCGGGGAGGTGTCGAGGGTTTGGGGAAGGAACGAGGTGAATAATAATAAAGGCGAGGGAGGCGTGGTGGGCGCATGAGTGTGTCGCCGTGGAACGGCGCGGTGGTGTGGCTCTGGCTGTGGCATGGGGAATGGGCGACGCCGGCCGTCGTGTCCACGGCCTTGGCCTTTTACCGCTGCCGATGCGCGCACGCAGCTACTACTACTCCGCGGCGCCCGTTCTCGTGCCCGCACCCTTTCTCCTCCTCTCATTCTTGGACTAGTTGAGCTGCTGCGGCTGCGGAGCCTCACGTTTTCTTCTTAAAAAAAACCCACTTTCCGATAATTCATCCTGGAGCCCGGGCTCATCTGCTCCCGCTCAGTAATTTTTTTTAAAAAAATACTAGAAAAATTTAAAAAATTCCAATTTTTTTTGTGGTGGTAGATAATTTGACGTGTGAGGTGCGCCCCAAAATTCAACTTATTTGGACATCTGAGCAGCTCTCGGCAAAAAAGACAAATCGGGTCAAAACAGTGCGTGAACAGTACATATTTTTACAGACCCTGATTTTGTCTTTTTGCCGAGAGCTGCTCAGATACTCAAATGAGTTGATTTTTGGGGCGCACTTCACGCGTCAAATTATCTACCACTACAAAAAAAAAGTTGGAATTTTTTGAATTTTTCTAGTATTTTTTTTGAATTTTTTTCTAAGCATGGGTGCAGATGAGCCCGGAGCCAAAACTCCGCGTCCACTACTTTCTCCATTTCTAAATATAAAGTCTTTTTTTATTGATTTCAACACAAACTACATATGGATACTTTAGAGTGTACATTCACTCATTTCGCTCTGCATCTAGTCCTTTATTGGAATATCAAAAAGACTTAGTATATTTAGGAACGAAGGGAGTATTAATTAACTAATAATTTTTTTACAATCGTTCGTTACATAATTTGCCACACAGGACGGTACACTTTTGCAAAGCACACCATTGGTCCTACTATCAAAACTAAACTTAGCAATCTCACGCGCCACCTCTATTTCCCTGCCTATCAATTTTGGTAATCTTGAGATCGTCAATAAAGTTTGAGGCGCTCAACGCTTAGTTTTTCAGATCCACAAGAGGAGATTTTTTTTTTTGCCAAAAAAGATGCTACAAAGGAGCACTCAGTTTTCAAAATAATTGGTCTGTCAAGTGTAATGTCAATGTATAACCTGGTGAGGCACGCACGAAGTTCCGCTTCATCCACACAGGTACACGACCGAATAAAATCCCACTTACTTTGTTGCTTAAATCCACTTGCACAGGCGTTGGCTGACGTGAAGGCTTTTCAATAGATTTCCACAAAAATAACAGGCGTGGACAAAGATTCTTCCCCCTCCCCATTTCAAAAATCATAGAGGCGGTGCCTCATGATACCGGGAAGAGAGTAATGTGGATGTAGCACATGTCGCCTCTCTTCGGATATGTCCTCTCTCCAATGCCGATGAGGTTGAAGAACATGCTTGTGGCAGACATGCTTGATGCGGGTGCTCCTGTGTTGTTGCAGTGAAGTCGGAATCATCGGGTCTCGAGTGCGATGGAGGATGTGCAATGGGCCGTGATGTGCTCTGCTCTGTCAATGTTTAGTTGTAGGCATTTTTGTATGTCTTGTGGTGCTAGTGACCTAGCCTAGATAGGTGCAGTTCCCTCTTATTCAGGTTTCCTCCCGGTTTTCCAATAATAAACCAAGCAGTTCTCGTCGATGGCTACTTCTGAATGGAATCTTAGCAGGTTTTCTGCTTACTTAAAAAAAAAAACTTCTACACTGCCTGCACTCGCTGATTATAACTCTCTTTTTTGTACAGTTTAGACAAAAAATATGACTTTGTTTAGGGCTCATGTAGATGCTTGTCACATCTAAGTATGACATCAACGCTCTCATTTTATAACTAGCCCATCCCACCTCGTGCTTGTTTGTTTGTGTGTTTATCTTTGTTTCTTTAACGGCGACCCAATAGTAAATCACGAAGGCAGTCACACGCAACGCTCGCCGCAGCAGTATACCGGGAGGCAACGATTTAGGGGCAAACACGGCTCACTGCAAGAGATTATTACTTCCTCCGTTCCAAAATATTTGTGTTTTTAGTGATTTCAAATGGCTACCACATACAGATGTATATAGACATATTTTAGAGTGTAGATTCACTCATTTTGTTCTGTATATAGTCACTTGTTAAAATCTTTAGAAAGACAAATATTTAGGAACGGAGGGAGTAGATCTCTGCTGCACTCGCACTTCGTGATGGGTCAGGCCACGTGCAAAAGTACCGCAAGTCACTGATCACAAGCCAAGCACGACCATCACTCCCATGCTATTGACATCGAGGGGCACATTCTACATCAGAGGTACCGGTAATTAACTCAATAGTTAAAAAGTACAAGTCTGAAGAATAGTAATAAAGCTAAAAATACTCAATTCAATTACAACCAACAATACCAAATTGATCCTACTGGATTACTGTATCCAAGAAGAAAGCTGCTGTACGAACACATACTTAACGCCATATTTGGATGTGCTGTAATTGACATGAACAAGAGCTATCTATTCTACCAGTTGCCGCTTAATTGGCATGAACAAGAGGCCTCTTCCCTGCTGCAATTTTATCTATTTTGGGCAAAGCCCAATAGCAGTTTCAGAAATTCCTAATAAATCCTAAGACCCACGCAGCCCATTTATGCAAGGCAAGAGGTGGAACTAAAGTTTAGTCTCACATTGCTAGTTTAGAGGGAGTTGGACCTCTTTATAAGGGAGGTTCTTTCCCCACATGTATGAGGATGAGAACAAAAGGGACATCCACGCGCGCTCCTCCTCCGCCGCTCGCCTCGCCACGCCTCGGCACGATGCGCCGCAGATTGCGGGAATGAGCCGATGTCTAAATTTTTGCCACGCACGACGGGTATGCGAAAGGTCACGCGGGAGCTGAAATGTTTTTCTGTAGTGGACACTGAATCCGAACGGCTCGCCTCTTTGGCTGAAGTCTGTTCGTTTCATCTCCCTCGTTCCCTTCAGCTCCCGGACCAGCCTCTCGCCTTCTTCAGTTGCGCCTATAAAACGGAGGTCGCTCCTCTCAAAGAGACGCACCAGAAGATCCTCTTCCTCTCGCCACAAAGTTCCTGAACACTGCGCTGCTGCTACGATCTTCCTCATCCCGACTTGCGGCGTGCACCGCAGGTCGGGACAGTAGGCCTCCGAAACTCCACCTCTTTGAGACCTGTACGGGAGAAGGGTGATAAGGTTTTTGGGGAGCGCTCAGCGCAACTATTGACTTCTTCGTCACGGACGCCCCGGACTCCAACGACTACTTCCCCGACGACAACTTCTTCCCCGACGCCGACAACCTCGTCGACGGCATGGCTGGCGAGGACATCACACCAAGACCGGTGCTTCTACTCCTGTTCCGTATGTTCTCATAATCTTTATGTTAGAGATTCTATCACAACTTCTTGCTCTAGTGTCTGTTCTAGATGTGTTCCAT